GGAATCTGACCGTAGACCTCCGAAAGCAACTTTCACACCAGCGGGCCGATTATTGAAATTAATAGACAAAGGTATTGACAAAGAAGAGAAAAGGGATATGGTGGGATACTATTAGTGAAAGCGGATGGTGGCAATGGACAAAGGAGTTCGATAATAGACTAACTAACGGCAGCCGACAAGAGACCCGACAGTTAGTCCATCATTTTCCCTCTCAGTCTGTTAACCACCAGTTGCAAACAATGGGATCGCTTCATACTCCCTATGTCTTCTTTGTCTATAGCTTTGTCTATCAATTTTAATAATCAGTCCGCAGGGAAGATAACACTGCGGGGTCTCTGCAGTATATCGATGGCCAAACTGCGAGACTACGTATCTCCATTACAGTGTTTCATAATTTCCGCTCTCGTTTTATTTTTGCAAATAGCTGTACAGAGCGCTATATTTATACGCGCGATAGCTATATTAATGCAGAGCATCCTGCTGACAGAGAAGAAAAATCATGGAAGTTTTCAAGAAATTATGTTGACTGGTTCTCCAAAGAAAAAATGAAGTATGACAGGAAGTCTGCAACGTCGCAAACGGAGATTCGTGGTTTCACACTTTGGCTCGATATATACGGATCACATTTTGCGATAAGGAACCACTATCACTGGCTCTTCAATAAAAGCACCTTTTCGCATGGGAAAACTAATGGCATAAATGCTGTTTCTAAAATGAACCAGAGATAGTGGTTCCATATTGCAAAATGTGCTCCATATTGTCTCTTTGCCCTATTTGCTCTATTGCCCTCAATGCAAGGTCTCTCGGGGAGAATGGATCCCGGAGGTTTAGTCCAGGAAAAGAGAAGCCAAAGTACGGGTAATCTAGACAAATTTGTGACCCACGATTTTTTTATCGATTGTTTTAGAGAATGAACAAGCGGTTAGCCTCTTCCGCTGGATTTATAATGTGCTTTTTCATACATCAGCATTGACCATTTTTCGAGGCACCCTTAAAGGTTTAAATATACGTGCTTTGGTAGTTTCAATTGCCTACCACGTGAAATTGCGTCCTCTACAATGTTTAAAATAACTACTATTTTGCCATAGCGAACGGATAAGCCGCTGCTCCAAAAAAACTTGAAAATTTGGTAAAAATTACCATAACCTTAACGATTTGGGAGTGAATGAGTCAGAACCTCATAC